CTCGGCTCTGGGGCCTTGACTCACCCGAGAGCTTTTGAACGGGTTCAGTGCCACCAAAAATTTTGCAGCGTCCTCCCATAACTGCCAGTGTGCTGGGAGGAGAGGACCAGGGGGCCCTGGTGGGTCTGGGGGGGTCCTGACTCCCTGAGCAGTTGGTCCAGGGGGGATTTCGACTCTTCCAGGACACTGTCACCCCCAGGACACCATCCACAGGCAGCCAGGGCTCTCCAGGCACCCAAAACCCGGGCATCGCCCCGCGCCAGTCCCTTTCCACTCCCATCATACACATTTTCTGGCTTGGGTACCATCTCCCAGCTCCACTCCTTGATCCGAGACGCTCGGTACAGCAGAGCGCCAGCCGATCCACCAAAGACCTTCAGCTCAAGCACCCCCATCCACATCTGGTACTAAATTATTCGCTCAGGGCTGTTAACACCCCGTTAAAACACCCGGTAGAGTGCTTCGCTACCGCAGCCACCCTTCTGTCTGTGCTTCGCTACCACAGCCACACTTTGGCCATCACTGGTAGAGTGCTTCGCTACCACAGCCACACTTTGGCCATCACTGGTAGAGTGCTTCGCTACCACAGCCACACTTTGGCCATCACTGGTAGAGTGCTTCTCTACCACAGCCATGCTTTGGCCATCATCATCCTCGCTCGTTCATCACCTTTCACGCTCTCCTCCCTCAGCCCAACTGGTAGGAGCCCATCAGGGACACACCACGCATCCAGCCTGGACTTGTGAGCCATTTATCATCTTCTCTATGAATATTTACACTCAATCCGCCTAGCACGCCGCTCGCCCTTTCCAAAGGTCTTAATAACCACCAAAAAAAAATCAAAATAAAATAAAATAAAGCCCCTCAACCCATCCCAACCACGTATTTAAATGTACATACCCCAAACGCAGCCGAGGGAGAGTAGCAGCCAGAGGCAGGCGCTGCAGCCCATGCCTCGGTTCACGGAGCCGCCGTTGCAGTGGAGGTGAGATCTGGTCCCGGGCTCATTATAAGCCCAGGTGTACTCAAATCAGAGGCGGCCTGGGCCATGTGTTTCCTGTTTTTGGCTCAATGAGTCTTGCTCTTTTCTTCATTTTTTTTTTTTTCTCAGATGGAAAGTATTCAAAGCACTCGAGTTCTGCCGCTGAACGCTTCGCCGGAGACAGCCCCAGAGCCCTGCAAGAAGGAAGCGGCCCATCAATTTATAACTTCTACCAGAAGTGCATCATCCCGCTACGGCTCCTTCGCCCCTTGCCAAAAGAAGAGGAAATGACCAGTAAGAGAAAAAAAACCAAAACAACAAAAAAATCATTTCACGTACGGTAACAGCTTCCTGGGGCTGTACAGAGCTTTTGAACCCGGTTACCGCAGCGCAGGCAGAGGCGGGCGGCTGCCTAACCTTCCTGGCTTCCCATGGCACCATCCCAACCACTGCTGCCAGATCCCAGCGCCGTGGGGCTGGAAAACCAGCACGAAGCTCACCCAAAGAGCCGGCGTGCACCACGCTCAACGGTGGCAACCAAGCCTCAAATATTGGGGGGGGAAAAGCTTAAATATTAATAATAAATAGTTAAATGCATGGGATCAACAGCGAGGAGGAGCATGGGGGGGCCTTGAAAAACCCACCGAGGAAAAGCCCCGTCCTCATCCGCAGGGAGCCCTGGCCTTCCGTTCGCCCCCGTTCAACGCCGTTGCCGTAACGAGCGTGCGGGGATGGGGACCGGTCCCAGCTCCTGCCATCGTCCCCCCCGGCCGGGGACGGAGTGGGGACCGCAGCCTCCCGCCCTTGGCAGAGATCTGGGGATGGGGAGCACGGGGAAAACACCACTCGCTTGTTCCACTGCTGGGAAGGGGCGAGAAAAACTTGGGTGGTTTTGGGTTTTTTTAGTGGAATTAATTATTCACCTCCGCCGGTGTGTGGCCCGTGAAGCTTTACAACAGGAGAAGGGTTTGGGGTTTTTTTTTCCTATTGTTTTCTTCATGTTTTTCGTTGCTTTTTCTGGTTTTCAGAGGGGAGCAGAGGCGACAGCATGAAGCCGAAATTCCTCCGCTGCTTTAAACCAAATTGGAGCGCCACAAGGCAATCGAAGGCGAGCATTCATCCCGCCGCTTTTCGGTAGAGCCGAGCTCCGAGACCTCCATGACTTTTGTGGCCAATAAATTATTTCTAACGATAAAAAGCCTAAAACCACACTAAAGCACCCTGGCATCCTGCTGGGCTGCTCCTTCCCGCTCGGAAAGCAAAAACCAAACCCAAAACCCCAAGCCATTTCCCAATAAGCAGCCGCTCACAAAGGGAAGAGCTCGGCAGAGGTGTAAAAAAGAAAGGATGAGTAAGAGTGCATGAGGCAATCCGGTTCTTTTTCTCACACCCGAGGGACTTTGGCTCAGCCGAAACTCAGCTGTGGTTTCCAGCGGGGGCAGCCAGCTCCCGGACTGAGCACTCGGCCGGGTGATGGAGGGGTGAAGGCATCGCCTTGGGGTATTTTGAAGAGCAGCAAGCTGCCCCGGCCCAAATCCCACCTGGAAAGCTCGTGAGTGGGACGGACATCTCCGGTGGACGGGCTCCACCAGCTCAGCCCCCCAGGAAGGGCAGCAGGATGGTCCCCAACCCTCCCCTCGGTGCCCTGTGCTTAGGTGCAGGGTGTGCTGGCATGGACACCATTGACCACAAACTGGTTGAGGAAAGCCATTCTGGGGCCACTTCTGTTCAATATCTTCATCAACAATCTGGATGAGGGTGTCGAGGGCACCCTCAGTTAATTTGCAGATGACACCAAGTTGGGTGGGAGCGTTGATCTGGAGGGTAGGGAAGATCTGCAGGGGGACCTGGCCAGGCTGGAGCCATGGGTTGAGGCCAACTGGGTGAAGGTCAACAAGGCCAAGGGCCGGGTCCTGCCCTGGGGTCACCACAACCCCACGCAGCACTCCAGGCGTGGGGCAGAGCGGCTGGAAAGCTGCCCGGCAGAAAAGGCCCTGGGGGGATTGGTCGAGAGGGGGCTGAATATGAGCCAGCAGGGTGCCCAGGTGGCCAAGAGGGCCAGAAGCATCCTGGCTTGTATCAGGAGTGGTGTGGCCAGCAGGAGCAGGGCAGGGACCGTGCCCCTGTGCTGGGACTGGGGGG